ACATACACACTACACAGACACACACACTGCATTACACACACTGCATTATATACACACACACTACATTACATACAAACACACTACACACACTGCATTATAGACACACTACATTATATTCACTATACACACACACTCTGCATCCACTACACACACACACACACACACACATACAGCTTCCCTGTCTAAACACACTTCATCCACTACATGTGGCATGTATATTTTGTGCATTTACCTTTCGAATTAGTTTATTTATTCAAAATAGTAAATGTACAGAATATCGGCTATCGGCCTGAAAGTTCGCAGATTATCGGTATCGGCTCTAAAAAATCAATATCGGTCGATCCCTACTTTCCACTATGTCCCTCAACAGCAAGCCAAACCGAGAAAGGGATAATTGAGTATATTTAATGTTCCCCTGCCTCTCCTGGTACCACCCCCCTTTTTAAATCACCCAAGAACCCCCCCTTCTCCCATTGCCCTAAATGAGTATCTCATAAAGATAAAATCTTTATCAAATACCCACATTGATGGTGTTGGAATTTCACTGGAATTCCATTTCAGTCAAAAGATATCTTAAAATAAAGTAAGCGCTATTCAGTCTCCTACCCCACCCCACTTTTGACAAAACGTGATGTCGGACCTTGCTGTACAGCTTTGGGCCACTGCACCAGAAACTGCAATGTTACCGTGAGGGGGAAGGGGGGTCTTTACAAAATATGCACACACCAGACAGTCACTAAGACACTTTAATAAAAATTCTGCATTGCCAGTGTTTGTGTTTTTTTTTTTTTTTCAACAATGTCATTGATTGGCTGAGAGATCTGGGATAGCTTAATCCCATCCCTCTAAGCCAAACATTGCCATTGGTGGTGTAAGAAGCCATGATTTAAATTAAACTATTCTTAAATTAACTAACTATTTAATTTTGAAATAAGGGATGGTGTCAGGGTACCCCAGGCAACACAACCACTATAGAAAACTGTATTAGTTATGTTGCTGAAAGTGCCCCTTTAATTTCTGTTTCATCAACGAGCCTCTTGAAAACAAAAATGGGGAACTAGGTGAATGAATGTTTAGAAGAATATATGTTAGAGGATCCATCTGTAGGACTTGAAGGCATGCGTTTACAGTTACTAGATCTTTTGAGATACGTTGTGATTCTTTGCATAGCTTCGGTTTGCTTGAAGAAAAAAAAAAGTTTCTTTTGACGTTGTGTAACGATGCACGCTTCAATTGCTTAGGGTTCCAGCCGCCATTGTGTATGAAGTGGTTTTGTATGTGGAATTACCATTTTAAAAGGAAATCAATAGCCTTTCAGAATAAAAACTGTGAGGAAGAGAAAAGATTGTATGGTAAATTGGTACTCTCGTTGGGCATTCCCCCTATAAGTGAGCCTTGTATGCACTTCCCTTGGGTAGTATTGAAAGGACAAGTGTCGTCGTCCCAAAACAATTTTTAATAGTGCTTTTGGAGAGAAATGTGTATATATATATTTTAAAAGATGCAAAAACCTAATTCTTTCCTTTTTTAGTATAATAATAACAAAATATTTTTTTTTTTTTTTTATTCTTTATTTTATTTGTGCATGGATTAACATTGAGCATGCAGAGCCACGACAGCTGCTGCAAGCAGTTGCATAGCATCACATAGCGTGGCAGATTAAACAGCACAGTTTTTATCTTTTTTCAACATGAAATTAACAAGCTATAAAACATTTGTGGTTTGTGATAGACATGCTGGTCTAAGTGTGTACGTAGTAAAGTTGTTCTCGCTTGGTGGTACATTAAGGTATGTTGCTTTGCGTGTAAGGGAAGATGTTTATAGCTAGGGCAGCATTGCAAGTAGACAGATTCTCGCTTGGTTGACTACATATGTTTTCGTATGACGTGCTGCAGTAAGGTTGTGATGTGTTGCCTGTAGTGTAGCAAGACCTATGCGAGTGTGTGCTAATGGGTGCCGTAGGGTTATTATGCAAAACAAAGTTTACATGCTTAGACAATATATTGCTGGTTCAAGCTTAACATTAGAACTTCGCGTACGCTGGTACAGTGTTAAGGCGGTTTGCTAACTATGCGATAAAACATTTAGGCTACCATAACATGAGTTTGTATATATTAAGTTAACAGAATGAGAATCTCCTGTTTTACACAAATGCAGTGTATAAGCTAGTGTATCTGCAAGAGCAATGCAAAGGACTATTAACAATTCTGTTCTCTCGCTATACTGGTCTCAGCAGCAGGTTTCAGAAAAAGTAAAAATATAGACAACAGTAATTTGCGTCACATTAGTCCTGTAGTTGGTGTAGGCTGCTGGTAAGAGAGAAGGGTAAATTTCCAAGGCGTCCTGTCACTTCAGAACCACAGGGGCAACAGTGTGTTGGCATGCACTAATAATTAGTCCGGTTCTGATGTTAAAGGTGAGTGCCGAGATGTGAACAATAAATTTTAGCTTGTTATCTGAGGGTAAGTCAGGTATAGAGAGGTTACATGCCTAACACTAAGCCTAATATAGATGCCTTGCCTCCGTCTGCTGAGAATATCAGTTTCTGCTTTATGGGCAGGGTTGTCGGCCATAGACCGTGAGGTGCTTGAGGTTCTGTTGTTTCAACCGATGCCCGTTTTGGCAGTCTTGCTTGTGCAGTTGGGTGAGGGTCTCTTCTGGGTTTCCACTCCTGTATGTCGTGAGTGGGGTTTCTGCCTGTTGCGTCTCTTGGGATCTAGCTTCGTTTTTTTTCGGTCTTCGGCACCCCAGGCTTTGTGGGCCGCTGTGTGCAGGCTTATGCTTTGCTGCTCGTTGTTTTCTGTGGTCGCTGAGTGAGAAGCATGTCGGATCTTCTTCTGCGGAGCGGGGTCGTGAGAATTGGCGTCCAGAAGGCCCTGCGCCGTTTCCCGCCTGTTTGAGCCTGGGCTCCAGTTTCGTTTGGAGGCTGCTCTGGAGTTGTGAGGGGGAGTCCATTGTAAGGTACGCCGGGTGGTCGGGCGAATCCACGCCGCCACCGCTCTCATCGCCCTCTGGTAGGGTTGTCTCCTGGCTTCAAGCTTCGCCCAGAGGTGGAATCGTAGCAAGTCCACAAAGTCCTTTGTGTGCTTGGGTGGTGCGATGCTCATGTGCTTGGCTTGGGGCCGCGTCGCCATCTTGGCCGGGCCCTGTGGATTTCGTTTGCTTAGCAAGTTCGCTGCTTGTTCACGTGCGCTTGTGGGGGTAATCGTCCCCAGCGAGGACCGGGATGTCCCCCTCCGGTCCAAAGGGGGGGGTAGCAGGGCTGCTTTGGGCTGTTGTGTAGGAGCTTGTACCGTGCAGGGCGGTCGACTGTCCTCTGTGGGCCTTACGCTCTGCGCTAGGTTAGGCCGCATGGCCTGTTGCAGCTTTTCCGCGGCGTATCGGTGCCGGGTTTGTATCATTGTGCGCTGGGTGCTGTCATGCGTCCGCTCCCGATCACCTTTTGCTGCTTATGCTGTCCTGTCAGTTGGTATATTTGCTTTTGGGCCTGTGATTGCAGGAGCTCCTAAAAAGTGCGTCTGGCCATCTTCGCTGTCAGGCCCCGCCCCCAATAACAAAATATTTAACAGATTCTTCTTCTGATGCATTAGCCCACTGAGCTATGAGAGAGAGAGAGAGAGATCTAAAATATATATATATATATATATATATATATATATATATATATATATATATAATATACACACACACACCTACACCTACTACCCCGCCTCAGTTGGACAGTGTTTGAAAACGTAGTCAGGGAGTGACTTTGGGAAGATCATAAAGTCATATAGATCATGTTCAAACGGTTTGACCCAAGGTACATGTTCGAGCAGACGTGTGGATATGGGGATACCCATCCTTAGCGGTCACATGCCTTTTACTGACAACTGTTGGTTGCAAATATTGAGCTTGGGTAAATTACATTCTGACCCAAGGTGAATAAAGATGGCTGTAAGGAAATGTAGGCACATGATTTCTTCAGTATTATTCAGTATGTTTCTTCACTATATAGGATTTCTAGAAAGCAAGCAAAGGGGAGTGTAGGAATTAGTGTCTCTGGAATTTGAACCTATACATTCTCCAAAAACCCGACAAAGGCATACATGTAAGGTATTGCTGTATTCGGGAGATAAAAGCGAATATAAATCTAGTCTTCAAAGTATCAGAACACACATTGGCGAAATTCACCATTACAATTAAGTGTGTTTGTGAAATTAATAAAACATATGATGTAATGGTAATAGTGGAAAAAAAAAACCCTCATTCTGTCCCATATTAAACAGGCTATTTTGTCTTTCCTTAACCCCATTTTGTATGTCACATTGAGGTTAAAGAAACACACAAATTGTGCTGTAGTGGTCATGGTTCCAGGAGTATGCTAGTGCCCCCCAATGTAACTGTTTGATTTCTTACCTGGGATTTGCTGGGTGCTGCTCAATATCTCCTCTCTTCATTGAGCTAAGCCCAGCGCAGTCCTTAACAGTGTTTAACGATATACAGAGCTAAGCCCAGCGCAATATACAGCACTATTCAAGGCATAACAATTTTGATTGTTGGGGAGTGGGACTGTGAGGGACTCGTACTTTTCACTCTGCTGTGTGGTGGTTCCAGGGAAGTCTAGTGATAATTGATAGGTCATAGATGGTATTTAACCTCCTTGGCAGTATTCCCGAGCGTGGCTCTGGGTTAATGTTCAGTACCAAAAGCTGTAACCCCGAGCCACGCTCGGGATTACCATGTAGTATCACTTAACTTGTCCCTACGAGCCCCTTGTGTCCTCCGCCTGATGCCGGCATCAGGGGTTCCCGGAAGGGGTTCCCTTCCCATCGGCGACGCAGGTTGGCAGAACTAGGCGGGAAGTTAAAAAAAGTAAACATACACACAGTACATTGTAATCAGTGTAATCTGTTAGGATTCCATTACTGTATCAAACCTTTTCACCTCCGTTTTGGCCCAGTGCTTTGTCCAGTGTCCTGCCTGCACTTTTACCGTTCTTTCTGCCTGGAAACTTGAGAATGTGTCCCTGGCATCCAAAAAAGCGTCCCTTTAGGTCAAAAGTGGTTTTAGAACCGCTAGAAAACAGCGACCGTGAATTAGAATCACTTGCAGAATTGAGCGTTCGTGATTCATGGGAAAATTTGTCATCAGAGACTGAAAGTGACAAAAGCGACGATTCTGCGACTGAGCTCAGTGATGTGCAAACTTGGTGCTCTATTGACTGTGTTACGGATCAGGCAGCACCCCCAAGATCCCCATTTGCTGGAGCATCCAGTATGAAAGTAGACGTTGAACACAACAACCCCCTGGCATACTTAAAATTATTTCTGACCGATGAGGTTATTGAAAAAATAGTTACTGAGACAAATCGGTACAAAGAGCAACAATTAGCAACTCTGCATCGGAAAAATAGCAGAAAGTGTGAACCAGTGACCAAAGATGACATTTGGACATTTCTGGGACTAATAGTACTTCACGGAGTGTTGGGGAAACCCCTGCAGAAGTGATATTGGACAACTAATAAATTACTTGCCATTCCATTCTTTGGTCATGTCAGAGTACAGATTTTCCCTGATCATGACTTTTTTCGAAAAAAATGAAACATTTGGTGAGACTACTCATCCTGCACCAAAACTAAAGATAATTTGGGAAGTATCTCAAATGATTCTAAATAATTTCAGAGCTATGTGCCAGAAAGAGATATCAGCATAGATGAAAGTCTAATAGCCTACAAGGGAAGGCTCAGCTGCGTACAATACATTGCATCAAAGGCAGCACGATTTGGCGTAAAATTCTACATGCTATGCGATCATCAACTGGCTACATTTGGCATTCAGTCCTTTACACTGGAAAAGGAACAAAATTCAATCCAGAATACAGCAACTATGGAATGGCAACATCTTCCGTTTTTTCACTCATTGAGCCATTGCTTAATCAGGGCTAATGCGTAACAACCGACAACTTTTACAAGTCTCCTGAACTTTATGGCGTGACATGCCGCCAATGTTTGGCAATAAGAAGCTGAAGACTGGAGAGATGGTTGCCTGGTAAAACGATGGCACTTTGATGGCATGACTAAGATGTGTGTCTAATGAGTACAGTTCATAATTCCTCCACTGTTCTGGTGGGGACGAAATCATGAAGCCAAAAGTAGTGATAGACTACAATAACACCATGGGAGGTGTCGACAGAGCGCCCAAGGAATGAGGAAACCGCAAAAGAAGTACTACAAGAAAATCTTCAGGCATCTTCTTGAGCAATGCTTGTGGAATGCCTACATTCTGTTAAAAAATAAGTGACAAGCCATTCTGACTTCATTTGGAAAGTTGACAAAAGTATCTTTGTGAACCACCAAACTCCATCAATGGCTGTAAATAGAGCTGGACGTCTTACTGTTGGCATTGTCAACCTGGAACACCTGACTGGTTGTCACTTCATGGACTACATCCCACCAACCGAGAAAACGTCAGCACCTACAAGTGTGTGCGTGGTTTGTTGCTCGAAGCGAGATGAGTGGAAAGAAAATCCTAAAAGAAACCAGGTTCCATTGTGATGTCAGACTTTGTGCAGTCCCATGTTTAAAACCTTTTCATACCCAGGATGTTTACTAAACAAATATGCAGTGTCTATTATTATTATTATTATTATTATTATTTATATAGCGCCATCAGATTCCATAGCGCTGTACAAAGGGTGGACTAACAGACATTTAATGGTAACCAGACAACTCGACGTACAGGTACAGAGAGGTGGAGGGCCCTGCATTACAGTGACCAGTAATATTGCACCCTTGTTTGGACAAGTCTGTGTTTTTTGGTTTGATTACATTATTACATTTTATTATTATATTATTATTTTTTATAATTATTTATTATATTCTAATTTATGATTTCGTTTTGCAAACCTTATCATACCCGGGATGTCTACTAGACTCTTGTTTGGACAGATTTTGGGGAGTTTTTCCTAAGAATTACAAGCCTACAATATGAAACCACAAATTTCCATACAAAACAATGTACCGCTTTAACATTCAAAAATACTGACCTAATCAGACTGTCAGGGAGGTTAAAGAGGTCACTTCCTCCCTTTTAGCACAACCGATTTAGCTATTGGCTGCACTAGGTTTTTTTTTTTTTTTGTTTGTTTTTTTACTTACCTTGCTGCTCAATTCACCCCAGTAAACGTTGAAATAGCATTTACTGTGGCTAGGGAACAAGGATCTGTTACTACTCTGGGAGTTCCTCTTTATCTTCTACCTGTTCTTTATGCATTGTCTTTTAAATTCATTTAGAATTGTGGTGGCTGCCAAATTGTAACTGCAGTTGTTGTTGTTGTTGTTGTTGTAGTAGAGAAAGGGTGATGTTGTAAAATACTCTGTTTCTTTGCTGCACACCCCTGTTGTATATTTTTGCTGCATGTGTTTTGTACATTATTTGGGAACATTGGTTTAATTTGATCAATATTTCTTTTTTAGTATTTCACATAGTGTGAAGGCCATTGCAGATTGGTGCTGTTGCCCTTTTAATCTAACATGTTGTATTCAATTAAAGCAAAACAGATCTAGAATTCACTGCCTGGGGAGCTGTCCTGTCAAATTCAGGAGATGTGGCTTTGCAAAGCAGAATATACAGAGCTTGGCATAAGTAGAGGAAATGAAATTGTGAGGCACTCTCAGCCAGCCAATGCCATCTAGGTTGGATGGATTTTACATTAATAATGCACATGGTATAAATTAAAACCGTTCCTATACAGTTAACTATTAAACTGATGGACGCTTTGGGATACTAGATAACATAACCACTTTAGTGAACTAGCCCTTGTGTTCCTTATAGTAGCCCTCCTTGGTTTTCTCACTGACTAATATAACTTGACTGACAATCTTCAGCTTAAAAAAAAAAAAAGACAATCTTTGGTTGAAATGTTGTGTCAACAACATTGATTACAACCTTCATGTTGACCGTGTGCATAAATCAGGCTACATAGCGAGGGTTTTGACATACAAATACTAATGATCATGATATGTGCTTAAATGTGGTAAAGGTCAAATCATACCTAGATTTAATAAAACTATTCTTTTAAAAAAACAAAACAAAAAACCCACAAAGTATATATTTTAATTTTAAATTGTTCATTGTGACATTGGAGTGTAGATTAACTGGCAGAGAACTATACCAATCGTAGTCCAGCGCAAACAGAGAATGTGACGGCAGATAAGAACCATTCGGCCCATCTAGTCTGCCCAATTTTCTAAATACTTTCATTAGTCCCTAGCCTTATCTTATAGTTAGGATAGCCTTATGCCTATCCCACGCATGCTTAAACTCCTTTACTGTGTTAACCTCTACCACTTCAGCTGGAAGGCTATTCCATGCATCCACCACCCTCTCAGTAACGGCCTGTGATAGGTCACCTTTCTGTTAAGCTCTGCTGGACACTACGTCTCTCTGAAATGCTATAGTGTTAAGATTACAAAATTGCGCATGGCTAGATTTACCCCGTACCCTCCATGCCATAACATTTTTTTTTTGGAAAAATCTTTTAATTGCTGTTTTTCATACACAGAGGGGTGCTGCATTTGCTCATAGATTGTTGCCCAGGAAGGTGTGTTTAACCCTTCTACAAAACTGCACCCTTTCATATACTTTTGTAATGTGTTGCTGTAACGCTACATGTAATTATAAAACTTGATCTTGACTATTTCATGCTGTTAAACTGTTTTAAACAAACTCCTTATCCAGCTGCTCTCTCCAGGAGATGTGCAATTTGAAAGAATGGATTATTTTCAAAATCACAGAACACATTTGGCCATTTCCTGGGTATGATGTCATCAGCATGGTTAGCTTAAACAATATCATCATCACCCTGGGGGTTTTTAAATTGTTTTGATGAAATTACATCTCTCCATTAACCAAAATATATCCTCCTCGTCCATTTGAATCATTATTTATTAATGAATTAAAGTGAATCTGCTTAAAGGAACACTTGGTTTATGAATGCATTTTTTTTACATGCACATACATAATGCACTTAAATATTTGGGGGGGGGGGAAGGAGGGGGGAGGGGGTTGGGGTATAGGTGCTGACCCGGGATCTTTGCAAAGAGAGAGCATCAATATTTTTACAGATGGAACTGTTAGCTTTTTGTAATTACCAAACCTGTTAGGGACTTCCAGCAGGAATAGACTAATTAATAATTAATCAATTTGACGTCTACAGTCATCATGTAAAGTTTGCTGATTCCAGATGCTGTGTGCGTTAATGCTTCTCATAGAGAAGGATTGGATTGTCGGACCAGGGATTGCTGTGCATACAACATACAACATGTCCTTGGTGCTTATCTGGATTGACTTCATGGTACTAGGATCGGGCTACAGGTAGGGGGAATTGGCTTAGTAATGGCTTCTGTGGGATTGTATGATTTTTACTATCAAATCTGCCTAAACACCATCTATATGTGTGTTTTTTTTTTTTTGTTTTTTTTTGTTTTGTTTTTTTCAACCTTTAGTAAACCTATTTAAAAAAAAAAAAACTGTAGATAAGGAAGGAATACAAAATTGCGTGTTCATAGTATGGAATAATGTTCAGTAAATATAACTAAAAATCACTGGGGAACTCTTCTTGCATATAGAATAGTTCTGTTTCAAACTGCTATGGAACACTTTATTTTTCCCAAGCCAAGTTGTTGTCAGGATTACACAGTACTATGTCACACCTACTACTAAGGATAATGCATAACTGGACCTTAGAATGGCCGGACTTAACTTCTCCAAGACTAGTCAAAATACTAGCCGAGGTCAGGGACACAGAATCACACAAAGATGAGGGAAAGCCAAAAGTCAAGGATGCCAGATATCAGGTAAGTCAAAACAAAGCCAAAGTCAAATATCAGAAAATCAAGATCAGGAACGCACTCTCTAATAACCATAGGCATGAAACCACGACCTGGCAATGAGCAAGAGGAGAGCTTGGTTTAAATACCCCTCCTGTGGATCAGAATGGCTGTAACCGGCCTTTGACCATAAAGGCAATTACCAGGTTTACATGTGCTTGATTGCTGCTCAGCACAAAACCCTCCTGTGGACTTGATTGGCCATGACCGGCCTTTGACCCCAAAAGTAATTACTAGGTTTCCATGAGCATGATTGCTGCTTGGCACACCTTTTCCTGTCAGGACCATAACAGGCACAACTGCTCAACCATAACGGCACAACTTTTCATGTCAGCACAGTAAATGCCATTAACCACATTTTTATGTGCGGATGAATACGTGACAGTTGTTTCCCCATTTGGTTTGGTATTTCTATCTACTGAACGCAGACCACACTCCTGGCTCATTATCTTCAAGACAACCACAAACTCAAGTCCTCTCTCTGGGTGGCTGCCATTTGTATAACTGAAGAACATGTGCTTTGGAAAACGGCGGACATCTTGTCTCCTAAACACAGGCAGCGGTACTTGGTCATCGAGAGTCTGGAACTCAAAGACAGATACTGTAACTCGCGAACCT